GGCCCTCGGAAGCAGCAGAGGTGCCGTTTCCTACTCAAAAATGGGAGAACGTAGCCTGCTGCTCCCAGGGAGCATTATACTGTGTTGTCAGAGCTGGCGTGTCTGGGCAGGGGGGCATGTGAGGCCTTCCTGCCTCATGCTGATCACGATCGTGTCCATGTGAGGATGGGCCCAGCCTCTGACAAGCACCTGCCTCCCCCATGCATGGAGGACTTGACTGCTGAATGTGAGCAGGGCTGTGTACGTGTGTGCAAACATGCAAACAGCAGTTATATAAAACACTGGTGAGACCCCTCTGGGATCCTGCAGCTACATCTGACATCCAGAAACAGTGCTGGAAAATCAAGGCAGGGTTTGTGGCAGAAGAAACCTCGGTGAGAGGTGGTGGAATCTTGACCCAAGCCGCACATTCTTGGCATGTTCCTGTTCTAGCTCTTGTCCTGATGGGGAAAAAGGAGCAATGCCCATTCCCAGACCCTGTCATGGTATCTTCTAAGCCCCCTTGTCTAGCATGACTGCCTGTTTTACCGCTGTTCAGTTGCATGCAGACACCTGAAGAGGCACAGAAGGATTTTTGGGTGCCACAGTGGGAGAGATCAAGAGAAGGGAATGAGCAGAGGGTGACTGAGCCTAGAGCAGGACCCTGCTATGGGATGGCAGGATTTAATCAGAGGGTCCCTGGATCTCAAGGACCTTTATTTCAAGGAGCACAGCCTGGTTCTTGGGACAGTTTTGCCCTTGCTGTCATAGGGTGGCAACTGCTGTGCCCAAAGGCAAGAGGAGGGTGCTGGGGCAGCCAGCCCCCCTGGAGCAGAGGTGGGAGGGGCAGGGATGCCTGGGCATGGAGCCAGGTGTGACCTGAAGGTTTCAGCCTCCCTGCATGGCATGCCAGCACAGCCCTGGCCCCCCAGGGTGCCTTAACCCAAGCTCTCTGCATTGGCAGTACGTGAGTGAGCAGCTCCAGGCACACAAGCAGTTGGTCGTATCCACCTGCTCCGTGGCGGACATCCAGGCAGCCTTCAACACCACCGTCTCCCGCATCCAGCGATAGTGAGTACAGCTTGGGCTCAACCTGGTGGCCCCTATGACTGTAAAGAATGGCTGGGAAGGGTCCTGGCTCCCCCAAGGCTTGCTAGGATCCTTTGGGATTGTGCACACGACTATAGGAGCAGGTATAAGCCCTGGGGAAAGCGGGGGATCCCACGGCAGTGCTCAGCAAGCTGGAAATTGTCACCAATGGGTTTCTGATGCTGGGTCAATTGGCCTGGAAGGACATGTCCCCTGCCCCCAGACCCACCTGCTGAGCCACTGCATGTCCTTCACAGTCTCCTTTTCTCTCCCTTTGGCAGCTGTAACTGTAACTCCCACATGCCTCCCCCAGTGAAGGTGGTGGTGGCAGGGGACCAGAGCTACCTGAGCATTGTCCTCCGTTTCTTCGTGGAGCAGCTGGCCAGCAAGACACCCGACTGGCTCAACTACCTTCGCTTCCTGCTTGTGCCACTGGGTGAGAGCCACCAGAAGCCTGGCCCCGGGGTTGTCCTCTCCCACCAACCCATGCTCCCCTGCCTGGAGCCAATGTTGCCCTTCTCACCCGCAGGCTCTCACCCTCTGGCCAAGTACCTGGCCTCGGTGGATAACAAATACAGCACTCTCTTCCTGGACACAGCCTGGCGGGAGCTGCTCAGCAGGGCTGAGACACCCATCGCAGGTGAGGAGCAAGGGCAGGGTGGGGCTAGCAGTGCCCTGAAGGGGAGCCCAGCTGCCACCAAGGCCCTCACGGCTCTTTGCACCCACAGACACTGTGGACATTGCTGGCCGTGTCGCCCAGTTCATCGCTGGAGCCAGCCTCTCTCACCAGCTGCCCATCTCTGAGGCCATGCTGACATACAAGCAGAAGAGGTGAGCATGGCCCCGGGGCACCTGTCCTGCCCTCATGTGGCCCCAGTCTGGGCTGTGCCCAGGACAGGGCTGTGGGAGATGGGGGACAAGTGAGTGAGGCCCCACACTCTACTCTGCCAGTGAGCAGCATGGTGCTGAGGGGAGCTGGGGTTCCACAGTGAGAGGCCTGCAGTGCCATCCCCTGCCACCCCCATGGTGTGCTTGGCCCCTCCAGCAGCTGTGGGCTGTGGCAGCCCCATGGTGGGGACCGGCTGCCAAAGCTGGGCTGGGCTGGGCTGGGGGCCACAAGCCAGCACTGTGCCCGGGGGTTGACGCTCATGTTCCAGCTGCACTCTCACCTCTCCCTTCTCTTGGTTTCTGGCACCCAAGGAAGAGAAGTCTCTATTTTGATTTTTATATCAGGTATTGGCTTGTGCTTGCTGTGCCGCTGCCTGGCCCCCCTCCTTTCCCCCATGTGCGTCCATCCCTCTTGCCGTGCAGAGGAGCCATGACCCCAAAGCGGGGCAGGGCTGCCCTCCCGCATGCAAGTCCTCTCCCAGCACTGGAGGGGCTGACTCCTTGCCTCCTTGTGTAGTGTGCCCTGTGCTGCCATGTCCGGGACAGGGGGTCTCATGGGAGGGAGGGCAAGAGCAGATGGTCCCAGTGGCTGGCTGAGCCAGCATTGGTCCCTGCCAGCGTGGGGGTCCCTGGGCCACAAGGCTGCCACATGGCACTCGGTGCTCAGCACACCCAGGCCCTGACCAGCCTCTCTTCCTTGTGCAGCCCCGACGAGGACTCCTGCCAGAAGTTTGTACCCTTTGTGGGGGTGAGTGTGTTGAAGGCCAGTGGGCAATTGGGGCTGGGGGTGGGGGGGGGAAGGGCAGTGCACAATCCTGCTGACGCTGGGGATCATCTGACTTGTCTGTCCTTGCAGGTGGTGAAGGTGGGCCTGGTGGAGCAGTCCTTCAGTGCCTCTGGTGAGTCCCTGGGAGCCCACAGTCCCTGGCACCCTTCTCCACTGTGGGGAGGCCCTTACTGGTGTCCCCCAGCCCTGACCCACACTATTCCTCCCCAGTGGACTCAGATGATGCCACAGTCTGCACCCCGTCTCTGCTGAGCTCAGCGCCAGCTGCTGGTGGAGCGGCCCCCTATGGCAAGGAGACTGTGAGCACCCCACCACCCTCCCCGTCTGTCAGCAGTGGCCTCTCAGGTGCCGGGTAAGAAAGCCCAACTCAGTGTGAGGCAGCGGGTGGTGGGGTGGGAGGGTTTGAGGCTGCCACATCCTGGGGTTACGGGGCCAGCATGCTCCCAGGGCAGGCTGGGCTGTTGAGAGGGAGAGGAGCAAGGACAGCACCTGTGTGCTGCATGGTGCTGCCCGTCTTGCCCAGGTCTCTGAGCCCAGGTGTGGAGGTGATGGGCCTGCAGGTGGACTACTGGACAACACAAGGGCTGGACAGGAAGAAGGAGGGTGAGAAGCGGGAGACAGGTATCAAGAACACGCTCAAGAGCAACTTCCGCTCACTCCAGGTCAGCCGCATCCCCGGCACAGGGGAGCTGGTGCCCCCTAGCACCATGGCTATGACTGTGGTCACCAAGGAGAAAAACAAGAAAGGTAACCAGGCCCACCCTGGGGTCCTCTCTGGCTGTGGAGCCAAGGTCTATTGCAAAAAGGGCAGGGGGGGAGCCCACAGGAGGGCAGGGCTGAGACACGGCCCAGCAGGGGCCAGTCAGTGCAGCCAGCCCTGGGGTGAGGGCTCCCACCCAGGGCCAGGTAGGGACATCCTAACATTGGTCCTGTCTGTCCTTGCCCCCCAGTGATGTTCCTGAGCAAGAAACCAAAAGAGAAGGACCTGGAGCCCAAAAGCCAAGTCATTGAAGGGATCACACGCCTCATCTGCACAGCCAAGCACCAGAACACCATGTTGAGAGGTGAGGCGACGCACAAGCCCCATGGGGCTGTATGTGTCAGACCAGGTGGGGCTACACCTCACTGCACCTTCTCTTCTCAGTCTCCATAGATGGGGTGGAGTGGAACGATGTGAAGTTTTTCCAGCTGGCAGCACAGTGGCCAACACATGTCAAATACCTCCCTGTGGGCATCTTTGGCTATTCGAAGAGTGTGTGAGACATGGGGGCAGCCCGGGGATGGAGCTGCAGAGGGTCACAGGAGGAGACAGGGAGACAGAGAGACAGACATGCTCTTGTCCCCTCTCTTCTGTGGCCCAGCCCCTGCCTGCTCTGCAGAGGGAGATACCACACCCGCACCGCTCCCTGTGGGCCAAGACCCGTGAAGGTGAGGCCAGTGAGACCGGGTCTGTGCACCCTCCAACACCAGCCAGGACACCACACCATCTGCCTCCCCCCACCCCCAACAGCAGCCTGGGACAAGGGTTGGCACCAGCCAGCAGGGACCCAGAAAGGGCTCCAGGCCCCGCTCTCCCCAGATGCGCCAGCCAGGCCAGCTCCCCAGCCAGCCAGGGCCCCAGCTGGGCTGGGCCCAGGCAGGTTCCCCAGCGCTGGAGCCAGCAGGATTTCGTGGCGTGGGGGGCAGGTGCTGAGCAGGGCCCACCAACCCTGTACCACCCCTTGCCAGCCCCGCTGCCAGCCTCACGCTGCTGTGCCTGGCCTGGCCCCGCAGGGATGAGGCTCAGCAGCTTTTCTAGTCCTGCTGCAGCCCTGCTGCTGAGGCTGGCACAGTGCTGCTGACACTGTCCCCAGGCTGCTGGGCGTCACCCTCATCTCCCCATCCCTTCCTGACCAGCCCGGCCCCATGGTGCTGCCAGCTGGAGGTGTGGCATGGGGGCACCTGGTTTTTTTTTTTATCAAGATTCTATTTTTTTTAAATTTATTGTACGGTTACTTTTCGGGATTAATTTTAATAAATTAATGCTGGTACCATTATGGCGGGCGGGGTGTGTGTCCCTCCATGCCTGAGGGCATGGCCCAGCACAGCTGAGTGAGAACAAGTGGGGGCAGGGTCTGGCTACTACCACGACTCCAGCAAGCGCAGTTGTCAGGGCTGCCTGGGCACAGCAACCAGTGGTATGACCTGGCCACATTCCCAGCCAGGGGCCAGCTGAGCTCTCTGATAGACTAAAAACTGGGACTGGTTGGAGCTTGGTTAGTTTATTTAAAATAAATTTCACAACTACTCAGGAACAGACAGACTGGACCGAGCCTGTGTTCTCCCAGCCCAGCCAAGTCCTTTTCTACCTGAAAGTAGAAAAAGTCTGTCTCCTTTCAGCAGAGGCTGGGCTTGCTGCCGTCTTGATCTCTACAGTCTGGAAGGCAACCTGGGGCTGAACCTGGGAGGTAGGGGGTGTTGTGGGCTCAGCAGAGACGTATTCCAAGACATGTGGCTTCTCCCCCCGGCGCCGGAGATA